TAACAGTAGCAGATATAGTAGAAAGAACAATATAACATGTTGTACAGGGCAGTAGCAGGTATAAACAAGATTAGTATAACATTCTGTACATGTAAAATGAACCTGTACGCCCGTGGGCTCCACTGTTTCTTAAATGTAGCAAGCTGAAATGTATTGCAAAAAAACGAAATTTGGAAGAAAAACCATCCAAGAAATTCGAAGAAGAGTATAACGACGACTCATGGCCGAAAACTCGAGAAAATCAACGAGAAAAGACTCAAGTAAACATCTTCAAAAATCTCGGAGAAATCTTGAAGAAAAGAAAAGAAACATGAGTGCTCTGTCCAAAGCTTCGATAAAACAAAAAGTTCAGGTAAGGGGGACCGCAAGCACTTGCGTAGGGCTAGACTCATTGTAGGGCTAGGCTCAGATATATGTATATGTACTCGAGGGTCCACGAAGGCTATTCAGTCACCCGAATGTATAGAACCCGCTACTCGTCTAGAAGTGTGTCTTGGACCTCACCTAGAGGGCTACTTCCCAGCCTAAACAGGTATTTGTCATGTGGACAATCAATTTTAAAAATGTATTTTAAAATTTATGTTTTTGACATGCACATAGGTCTAAAAAAAGAAATTATCAAATTTTATTTTATAGCGAGAAATATATTTTTATTTTTTATTTTTTGAAATAAGTTTTAACAATTTTTATTGTCCACAAGTCGATTATGCTGTCGGACGTGGGACTGTCAAATATCTAAGGAGGTTCGAGCCAACTCCCGTTATACTTATGTCGGTGAAGGATACTGTTATGCTATTGTTCATCAAATACCTGGATCTTGATGTTATAGAATAGGACATCTTTCCGCTCTATCTTCGGTGTGCCTTTGTCATCACCACCCTACGCCTCACCCTACGCCCCAAAACAAACTACTTGCGACCTTCTTTGATGGTTTCAAATATAACAAAAGGCTATACGTGGACACTTATGCGTCGGACATAAACATCGAAAACCGAACCAAGAAGCAAGGAAAAAGAAAAACAAAAATGGGGTGAGAGAGAGGAGACACTGATCCATC